GGAATGTCGCGGGATAAACGGGGGAAGGGTTTAGGACACAAGAGGAAGACGGGGGGCAGTGAAGATTACTCATAACAACCATGTCAAAAGTATCCATGAGGTTTTTTGAATATTTTTTTCCCCTCTGTTTTTACTTTTATATACAAACAAACCAAAACACAAAATATGGATTGTGCACACTTTTGTTTGTTTTCACATATATATTTCATGAAAAGCCTCAATACTCACTGGGAGGGAAAGGGATAGGAATATGGAGGGAGGGAAGAAAACTGTAGGAAAATGGACGGAGTGAGAAAGATCCTTTTCCTTTAAACCGGTTAAGCAGTTAATCCAAGATTATGACGATGTTGATGATGGAGGGAACTGGAGGAGGTTCGAGAGGAAGAAAGGGAGGGAGGGAAGAAGTAGGAGGATGGCAAGAAGGAAAATGGGGGTTTGGAAACAGCTCAATCTTTCCAGTCCTTCTTGATGTTCAGGTTCCATTCCCAGGACAGGTGGTCGTGCTTGTCGTCGTCAGTGAACTTGGATTTAATGTTGTAAGTGCCGCGGGCCAGCATGCCTTTGGGTGCCTCCTCCAAGGGTGTCAGGAATTCGTATTCATTCGGCCGAGGCCCATAGCTGCCCACCATGTAGTCAGACTTGTCAACTGAACACAAGACACAGGTGAAGAGGTGTAAATGAAATGGAGTACACTACTTGCTATATTCATTCTCAAAGGTTGTTTAAGCAATCAAGGATAGTGTATGTGTTGCAATAAAACCTACTCCAACATTACTTGTTTTCATTATGGAGACACAGGCAGCCCAATTAAGGGTGTGCGAAATGCATCATCTACGATAATATCATAATGATTCTTTGTGGAAGCTGACATTATGGAGGATATCACTCGGTTTGTAAAAAGAAACAGTTCAATAAACAATAAGTTAATACTGTACGTTATATTTTAGACACAATTTTGTTGCCAAATTAAGAAAAAAAACAAGGCATTCAGTCATGGAAGAACTGTTCTCCACCTCGGAGCGACACAGCGATGTTTCATTACTGAATGAATCCACGTTTGTGAAAGAATCAGGCGAGTCAATGATTCAAGGACCAAGTAAAATGTAATGTACTTGTCATTAGAAAAAAACCCTGCCACTAATCATAATGTATTAATGTTATTAATATATTTAAATGTGTACTGTGTATACTGGTGCATGTAAAAGGACAAGGAAGAATAATAATTGATCATCTTCAGTCGCAGATTTTTATTGGATTTTAATTCTTATATTAAAATGGAATGTGTTAATATCAGCCAATTAGAGCAAATACTATTACATGGCTGAGAAATGCTGACTTTCATTCATTTGTGCACCATTCCTTCATGTTCATTTGTGCATAATAATAAACACAATCTATAAATATTCATGGTAGATTGGCCTCCCCAAAACATAGCATTAATGGGACGCTCTGGTGTACAGAGGGGGAAGTAGATTTCCACACCCAGTTCCTCAAAGAACTCGAGGCTTTTCTTCTAAAAGGGTCCCGAAACCCCGTTTCAGCACCGTTTAGTTCTCATCACAGTTTTGGAAAGTGTTACAAAAGTGGGTGTGGTGGAGGAGGAAGAGGGGCGACAGACAACACAACAGCGTCGTCAGATTCAGACAGTTTCGTTTCGCTCCCATTGAGTTAAAAACACAAATAAATGCACAGCCATTTGCACTCGGCACCAAAACTATATATGATAAGCAACACTTTCACCTCTTTTCCTTTGATTTTGGGGTGAAATGTACCCTGAACATGAATGTCAGATTGTCATTTCTAAAGAACACTTACTCTTGATCCCTTTCCTAAAGGTCTGCTGTACGTACTTCAACCCCGAGACGATCTCTTTGTTTACCTGCACACAAATGTAAATACATGTGATGTCACATTATGTAACAGGTACAGTTTCAAAGCAACATATGTTGTTTACATGCAGTCAGTGTGTGTGACTGTTTACAGCACAGCAGCTATATTCACACAGCTATGAGGCGGCACTGCTCAACACGTGACGGGAAGAAACGTGGAGTAATCTGGAGATGCAGAGAGCCCAAGCTTCAAATAAGAGGATATACACTACAAATGTGGAAGTGAAGTACCTTTCATTTACCGGATTATCCACAAACAGGCACTAACACATGATTGCCAAATATTAACAGAATTTCCAGTAGAAATAACTTCTAATATGCAGTTACTTTGCTATGAAATTCTCATACTATGACAAAAGTTGTGTGATGGCATCAATTCCTAGCAATTACTGCATCTAAATGTTTCCAGCTGTGGTCATCTAACCTTGAAGCTGATCTTTATCCTGTACTCCACTCCCTCCTTCAGCACAAACGACTGCTTCTTAAAGGACTCCAGATCACCTGAGAGTGGAGCAAACACACACACACACACACAAAGTTAGTGCAGCTTTGAAAACATACCAGTGTGCATCCTTTTGAACTCATTAAAGGGATCATATGATGTTGCTAAAAAGAACATTATTTTGTGTATTTGGTGTAATGCAATGTGTTTATGCGGTTTAAGGTTAAAAAAAACATTATTTTCCACATACTGTACATTATTGTTTCTCCTCTACGCCCAGCCTTTCTGAAACGCGTCGATTTTTACAAAGTTAGTGCAGCTTTGAAAACATACCAGTGTGCATCCTTTTGAACTCATTAAAGGGGTCATATGATGCTGCTAAAAAGAACATTATTTTGTGTATTTGGTGTAATGCAATGTGTTTATGCGGTTTAAGGTTAAAAAAAACATTATTTTCCACATACTGTACATTATTGTTTCTCCTCTATGCCCAGTCTTTCTGAAACACGTCGATTTTTACAAAGCTCATCAGTCTGAAAAGCGAGGTGTGCTGTGATTGGCCAGCTATCCAGTGCGTTGTGATTGGCCGAATACCTCAAGCATGTGACGGAAATGTTACGCCCCTCACCATACTGTGATGTCCTGTCCCAGAGCGACGAGACAAAAACATTCATCCAGTGGGGACATAATTACGGATTATAATGACTTATACTGTCTTTTTACGCGTTGCATCATTGCGTCGTAAACATAAAACCATGTCTGCATTTGTGATCGGAGAAACAAGCACTACACTACACTGCTCAAAACTCACGTTTGAATCATCAGAGGCAAATCCTTTAAATATGAAAACGTACTTACAGTCTGTGAGTCAGAACAGCCGGCATTTTTGTCTATACTCTTCCAGGATCAGGAAACAGTCCT